AAAAAAAAAAAAAAAAAAAAAAGAGAGAGAGAGAGAATTCAAATCTCCATTGCAATCGCTGGTCTTGTACGGTATTGTTCCATCACATAAAGCTGAAATATATATTAAACAAAAAGAAAACAAACACAGTAGAGAAGATAGCATGCTGATTTCCTCACAACCAACCAAGGTAGATGGCTCTCAGTAAAATTTCATATCTTATACTATAGCAGAATCCAATATTCTAGTAATTATAATAAGAAGTAACATGAAGCAAAAGGAGTCAAACACTCTTTTTAAAATCAGTAATCATTTCACAATCAAATGCTTTGACAAGTTTCCTAGTTATGAATACATTTATATTTATTTATCTATTTTTGAAACAAGATCTCACTATGTAGTCCAGCCTGGCCTTGAACTCACTATGTAGTCAAGGCTTGTCTTGAATTCTTGGCAGTCCTCCTACATCAGCCTTCGGAGTGCTGAGATTACAGGCATGCTCCTGGCTTGGATGCATTTTTGACAATCTAGATAAAACTAACTCAGTGGTTCTTATTTTACTCTAGTCTAGGGATAGTTGACAATATCTACAGCCGACATTTGTGGTTGTCAGGATGGACTTGGAAGGATGTCTTACCAGTATCTTATGGGCAGAGGCCAAAGATGCTTCTAGACATCCTACAATATAGAATGAAAGCCCCCTTCCCACACAGAGAACCATCTGAGTTCAAATGGCAATAACGCAGATATTGAGCTACCCTGCTCGAGTTTCCCCACACCCAACTTAGAGGAATGTTCTCGAAACAACAGGAAAATCTGCCACTCCAACTCCACTGCCTACATTTTCTCAGCTGCTTTCTCTTTCCACTGCCAGAGCCCACAGCTACTTTGTATTTGACAGCAATGTCCCATGAACATGGTGCCAGCCTCTTTCTTAAATGGATTTGTGCTCTTGTCACTTCATTGCCCACATCCTCTCACTCTGTCTTGAGCCTAAACCTCTGGCATTTGTACTTTTTTCCTTAGCTCACAGTTAGATCCTGGTGTTCCAGGAAATGATGCCTTATTAACTCCTGTCTAAACATAGGCCTGGAAAATCAACTCTCCTCTCCCCTATTCCTGTGGCTTCAACCTCTTCCTGAAAAAGACATCTCTCAATTCCATAAGTTCTTTTTTCATTGGAAATGAGATTTGTTTCCTTAAAGTGTCATTTGTTTGTGAAATAATAAGCCAAACTGACCATACTCTCTTGTTTCCAAGATGTTAGTTTTATATATCTGAGAATCACTCCCCATGTTCCCAAACTGACCATAAAGTGATAAAATTTGTAAATCTTAAGTATGACTTGAACCATTTCGAATAGGTAAGACAAGATCACAATGCATAAGACAAGATCAGGAGGTAAGAAAAGATCACAAGGCTTAGAAATACATTTGCATAGTAATATGTTTCACGAAATACATAAAAAAGAAAAAAGATGAGGTAATGGAAAGAGACCAGGAACATACAAATGAATATTATCTGATCTTGTGCCGCCTCAAATGACATGAACTGTTGACATGGCCTTAGAAGAAAGAATTTTATTCACTAGCTAAATCCAATTTGGAAGCCTTCTTGTTTTCCTCACTACATCGTAAGTAATTCAAACATTTCTTAAAGCTCATTTATTCAAAAATAAAAACAATGCTCCAGTTACATTACATGAAAAAGAATCGTGGTTTAAAGTTTTCCTTCTAAAACAGTTTGATTCATTATTAATGATGCAATTAGGAAAGACAGTAATCCCTTTAGGTGAAATAAAAATAAAAGATGCATGTGTGTTGGAAGGAATTTTAACAAAGCTAAAACTCAGGAAAAAAAATACTTACAACTGCCCTATAATAAAATGACTGACCGATTTAGATACATTTTAACCTTGGGAAACAAAATTAGCTAAGGATTTAAAAACAATTTTTGAGTTTTTAAGTACATGAAAGAAAAGACTGTGAAGAAAAAAAGTCTTTATGTATTTAAAATAGACCAGATTTTAAATAGTGTTTCTTCTAATATAATACAAATCCCTAATATTAAATATTAGAAGACATAGGATCTGCTCCTGGATTCCTCACTAACTTATTTTCTGCATATTGGTTATTTAGCATCATATTTTTATTTTCTTTCAATTTCGTATCTATAAAATGGAGTAATTTGTTATATTTACCATAAAGGAATGGAGGGATGAAAGTCAATATAATTTGTTATTGAAATATTTCAATGTGTTTGAACAAAGTTTCAGAAATAAGATATTTAAAGTAAAACATTGAAAAATTAGGATATCTGCATTCTTGATATTTTGTTTGAATATTTCAAATATCATTAAATTGAATTTAATTAAAGTTTTTGTTGAAGTATCATTTTATTTAAAAGAGGAAAGAACTGGTGCCCCAGCAAAATGTCTTTGCTATCTAAGGTTCTGCTGTTCATAGATCTCACAAAAAATTGGGATTTGAGTTTTTTTGTTTTTGTTTTTGTTTTTTTTTTTTTTTTTTTGTACCAAGGATCAAACTCAGGACCTTGCACTTGCGAGGGATCTGAGATTTTTTTTTTTTAAACAATTAGAGCTATACATTTCAAGCATGCATGGGATCCAGGCTTCCTAGTAAAATCTACAAATCAGAAGACAACTTTTACTGGGATAGCTGAATAGAAATAGTACAATTTTGTTGACTAAAACATGTTTTCATATGTAAAAATAAGGAAGTAATTTTGAGAATTTCAGTACACATATGCATGTTGAGTAATATGGTGAGAAACCCTGTAGTGTGTGATTGTATGACTACAAGTACCAACATTTATTAAAGTTATGACACAAGGAGCTAATTTAGCATTCACCTCCCCCAGTTCTACAAAAAGACATATGTATCTGTAATCTTTCAATTATGCTTCTCTATGATAATCTTATTTCTTTCTTTCTTCTTTTTTTCTTTTTCTTTTTCTTTCTCTTTTTTTTTTTTTTTTTTTTTTTTTTAACCGTTCTTCTTTTTTTAGACACGATCTCACTGGTAGTTCAGACTGCCTTGGAACTCACTATGCAGCCCAGGCTGGTCTTGATTTTACAGTGATCCTCCAGCCTCAGCCTCCTGAGTTGGGGGATTACATGTGTGTGCCACTACATCAAGCTATGAAAATCTCCTTTATGATCAGAAAGTTTAATAGTACAAAATTGTTTTAGGTATAGTTACCATTTCATTCACAATTCTAGATATAACCTTTCCTCAAAACACATAATCAAATTATATAGCATTGTTTAAATTATAAGTCCAACTCCTTACCTGTAAGACAATGTAATTTATCATATATATTTGTTCTATAAAATTATGTATGACATCAATGGATCCATGTAATCTGTGTTAAATCTAAAACACTGGTAACTTGATTTAATATTGCTTTTTGGGCTCTGTGATAAATTAATAATGTACAACAAACAAAACCAAAGAAATCAACAAAAAAATGCCAAGAGCAAGGCAAATTCTTAGCTAATGCTGATAACTAAAATTAAGTAGAAATGGAGACACTCTCATATATGGACGCTTTGTTCCTACAGAATGATGAATTTGAATACAAAAACTAAAGAATAATTGCTGTTATTGTTGGTGTTTTCTCCCTTCCATACTAAAACAATGATTCCTGAATTCAGCATGGAACTCAAAGAGTTAAGTTAGAGTTAAAAATATATGTTCTTCTGAAAATGTATAAAATATTTAGAAGTCATATATACATATAAATTGTATTTATAGTTGTATTAACTGAATCATATGCAATTTTACATTTATTTATATTTATAGTTATTCATATTCATTTATAGATACAGATAAGTATATTATATATAATTCATATATCATTGTATTTATAGTTTTACATAGTATATATGACATATATAAGTAGGTTCAATATTAAATTTATTCCTTGTATTTGATACCATGTTACTGTAAAATTTCATTTTAAACGGATAACTTTACTAATTATATCTCTCAATAATAATTCAAATTTTAAATATGATCAGCATCTCGTAGCACTGCCTTGCTTTAATGTAACATAATCTTCACATTGATTTTAAAATAAAGATATTAGTTGCAACACCTAGACTGATAATATTTTAGGCAGATTTCTTAGGAGAAACGAAAGTAAAATTGTATAGAGTGGGCTATTTTATTCTTCAGGCTTTAATATCTATGAGAGGAAAGTCTAGTAAAAAGAAACGAAAGTGCATATATAAAGTTCATGTTCACTTACACGCCACTTCCAGGGAAGCGTTTCTACTCACTGCTTCACCAAGATAGTTCCTGGCAACACAGACGTAGCTGCCTTCATCGGGTTTACTTCTGCGCCCGTGCACAATGCGCAAGAAGAATAAGGACCCGCTGGGCAGGAGCATCCTGTGGGAGCGCGGATCATCCTTGTCGGTCTCCACCCGCTCTCCATCCTTGTACCATTCAATGGTAGGGGTCGGCCGGCCCTCCGCCTTACAGTTCAGAGTGGTGGGCTCTCCCTTAGACACGATGACATCTGAGGGGTGCTCCACGATCCGTGGCGGAAAGTCTTCCTGGCGAAGACGAGATCCTACGAAACATGATAAAAGGAGGATAAGCTTGAACATTTCCTTATTTACAGTTTCTGGTTCACTTAGGCTTATGATTGCAGAACTACGTTTTTCAGTTATTTCAATGAATAACTGAAAGCTACTGTATTCTTTGTCTCCTTGTTTTATTTTTCTGTTCATCGCGTAAAGTTTTCCCAACTCTTTTTGTAGGATAAGGCAGTATCATATTATTTCTAATGAGTTAGGTCTATCGTGTTCCATAAATCATAACCAGCAAAAAGAACCAGATATTTTCATAGGGAACAACATTTTGAAATGAGGACTAAAGTGAACAAGTCTACATGTTCTCAAAACGTTTATTATTTGCTGAGTAAGAAAGCCAAGGGGAAAAAGAAATGAAAGCCGAGCGGGAAGATACTTAGAGGACTCGCATAGATGCCAGTCACTATGTTGGTGCTGTGTTACCAGACTTTAATGCAATAAGACTTCCAAATTATGAGCAATATTATGTTCATTTCTCAGAGGTGGAAAACAAGAAGGAGATGATATTAATTGTCCAGGAATGTATATTATATAATCAGAAGCAGCATTTGAACTCAGATATGTCTGACGGAGGAACTCAGATATGAGTCATTATGTTAAAATGAAGTAAAGGCTGTGTAGGATTACAAGAAATGAATTACAGAAAAAAAGGAAACAAATATCAGCCTTAACTGAAAAAAATAAAAGACCTCTTCCCAAGCAGTGGCATTTAAGTTGATCTATAAAGAATAACAATGTCTCAACTGAAGGAGTAAACAGTCAGATTAAAGAGGCATCATAAAAGCCAAAGGGAATGGGATAGGGGTAGGGGATGAGAGAGTAAATATACTGGGTTTCACATTCAAGGACGAAGTTGACACGGCCAGTAAACATAAAACATAGTCTTAGAGTCTGACAGAACAGGCATGTAATATACGTATTGCTTTTTGTTTTTAACTCTTTCAGAAAAGGTAAACTTCAGTCATTTATAGGAAAATGGATACCCCTCGAGACAAGAATATTAAGTGAAATAAATCAGAAATACAAGCTCCATCATTGCATGGTTTGTCTTTTATAAGAAATCTGAACTATAAATAAGGAGCAAGATAAAAAGTGGATAAAAAGAAGTCAGGAGAGTGTTCTCCAATGGGGAGGGATTGAGAGAAGGAAGGAGGAGGGAGGGAGGGGAGGAAAAGATGATGAAAAAAGGAATTACATGTGCCAACTCCACACAAGGAATCAAGGTATAAGCACTGTGAACGGCAAGCTTATAATATATACATATTATGTATGTATGTATGTATGTATGTATATATATATATATATATATATATATGCATAGATTATGATTTGATCTCCAAAGATCTAAGCAGTGAAAGCTTGGGCCCCAGTATGGCAGTATTGGGACACAGTAGGCATTTGAGAGGGTCCAGCTTACTGGAAAGAGGTTAGGTCATTACGGGTATAAATCTTGGAAGGAATTACTACTGGTCTTGTAGCATAAATTCTTACAAGAATGAGTGAGTTGTTATGAAGTAAATGAGTCTGGCCTTTTAATGCCTCTGGTTTCCTGATTTGTCCTGAGATCTCTTTCTCTTACACATGCTCCTACCATTATGCCATCCACCATATTGCTATCTGCGAAAAGGACCTCATTAGAGCCACCGGACACTAGTGCCATGCTCTTGACTCGCAAAATTTTGAACAAAATAAACCTTTGCTTCAGACAGTACCTCTTTCTTTATAAAGTACTCTGCCTCAGATATTTTGGTATAGCAACAGAACATGCTAACATAGGTACCAATGACTTCCTTGTAGTTGCACAATTAATAAAGGAGTCGGACTTATTGGCATTTTCAGATCAAATTTGTTCTGCTGTTTTGGATACTTTTGATTTATAAGGAATGTGTAGTCATAATGTGTGGGAATATCCTATCAGCACCTGCAAATAAATCAAAAGAAAATGCTAAAAGTAATGTGTGTCTAGTGACATCATGATGATGTAGATAAGAACTTCTTAAAAGTTTCCTCTTACAATTTTCCATCCAATCACCCAATATTAGCACATTTCTGCTTCATAACCATAAGTAAAATTTACCCCTCACTGTAATTCCAGTTCACTTTCAGTATTAATGAAAATACATAATTTAATGAAAGGAATTCATTTTGATCATGAGGAAACCTTTTCTGAAATAATTAACTTTTAAAGGTTGCTGACTGCCATATTTATCTCATCAGAGCTAAAAGAAGAACACTTACACCTTTAAAAGAGCTGCAATCTAATTTGGGGGGACTATCAAACAATTAGAAAAAATTAATGGAGCAAATTTTTGTGATTTCAGCAAATTTTGAGTTAGACAAAACATTTTTGGATACGACACTAAAAGCACAAAAGCAGAAACAGACAAACCAGGCTTCATACAAGTTTAAGATGTTTGTGCTTGGAAAAGCATATACAACAATAAATACATAAATAAATAAGAACCTACAGAGTCAGAAAGAAAACTTGCAAATCACTTAGGCAACTGAGATACTTATGACTAAAATATATAAAGAATTCATAACAAAATAAAAATTTTGAAGGGAAAAAGGATAGGAGTAAAATGAAACAAAATGTTAGAAAAATAGCTAGTAAGCACAGGAAAGATATCATTAGCTATTGGGGAAATATAAATCAAAAATCACCATGAGATATAATTTACATATATTTTGATGTCTACATTTTTAAATCAAGGTAAAATAAAGAAGTTAGACAGCAACGATCAAATATTCTATGATTTAATTCTATATTTCATTCATGTCAAATGTCCAGAATAGCGGAATCCATAGATCAAATATCAGTGGTTGCCCAAGACTGGGGCAATGGATTGGAGGTAAAGGGAGTCTGAGGAATTACTGCTAATGGGGATGGGGATTCTTTAGAGGCTGATGGAAATCCTCTAAAATTGATTGTGGTAATGGTTGTATAACTCCATGAATATCATAAAACCATCATATTGTATATTTTCAATACATGACTTTTGTAGTATATAAATTGTACTTCAGTGTGGCCATTTTAAAAAAGTAGTAAATGGTACTATAGAAAATGTTTTAATACAAAGTGGGAACAATTTATATTCACTTTGAATAGTAGAAGGTTACTTTCTCGCATTTACAACTTCAAGCTTTAATGCAATTATCAGGACTTCAACCATTAATTGAGCATCAACTAAGAGTTGACGGCCAGAGACTTAGCTCAGTGCCGCCACCCGCCTTGAAAGTACAAGGTCTGGAGCTCGATTCCTGGTACCAAAAAATCTCACTAGCCAGATAGGGAAATAGAGAGACAGATGAAGATGAGGAGGACAGTCAGATAATATAAATATACAAACATAAATAAATGAACTTGCAATCTACATTGTAACACGCTACTAAAGGTATGGGGCTTAATTCTGAATTCTCTTAAATTCAGACATTTTACAGCTACAGCATGGTCCCCCTGATGGAACCAGCAGAGGTGGCTCATGCAGACTCATGAATTTTAAATGTATGAATAATGAGAATGCTAGTAGGGGGTGTGGCGGTAGTGGCAGAGGTCAGTGGGTAGCATATATTTCACTAAATTTTCAAAGACGGAGGTATGAGCCTTTAAAATTATCAAGGGGGCCGGGGATCCAGCTCAGTGGTTCCGCTCCTGTCTTGCAAGCTCAAGGACCCAATTTCGATCCCCAGTATCATAAATAAATAAATAAATAAATAAATAAATAAATAAATAAACACACAAATAAAATATTCAAGGACTACCAAGATACTGGCTATTCTGCATATATTATTAGGCCAAAGCACTCAGTTATTTGGTGAACAAACAAGCAAAAACAGAATTCCTATTAATAGTTTTTTGAGGAATTTCTATACTTATTTCCATAGTGGTTATATGAATTTTCTATTTGATCAAGTTATATGTCTTCTAGTACATTCCGAGAGTTAAAAGTCATTATATTACAGTGATACACGCATATCGATGTTATAGCAGTGGAATAACTAAATTATGAAAGCAAGCTATATGCCCATCTACTGAAGAGCGGATAACGAAAAAGTGCTATGCACACAATGGGTACTATTCTGCCATAAAAGAGGACAAATCTGAGTTACCTGTAGGAAGATGAATGGAACTTGAGACTATAGTGCTAAGTGAAATAAATCATATGCAGAAGGTTAAATAGCACGTGGTTTTTCTAACAAACTCATAATAAAAATAATTGAAAGATTTCAAATGAATGAGAAATGGCAGAAGAGAAGTAAATAGGTTCTGCAGAGATGGAAAGGGCATGGGGAAGGAGGGAGAGGAAAGAGGAAAGGGAAACGAATCTTTATTTCCCCATGCTCTTCCTCTCCAGGGATTGGTACAAACTACAGAGTTTGGGGCGAGATGAATTAATCAGGTTTTACTTATCCTTGAGATATTTCATAGTTTTAATTGGTTGTAAAAAGATGCTGAGGAAGAAGTAAAGAAGGAGCAGGAAGAAGAAAATGAAGGAGGGCAAGGGTGAGAACGAGGAGAAAAGGACAGTGTGCATAAACTATGAAGCCAATATTTACTACAATTTCATTAACAGGAAAAGTTTCCCATGTACTTCCAAGTATATGTTTTGCAATTTCCATTAAAAATTTGTTTCTACAGTCCTATTTCTTTTATGAAGAACCACAAAACTCTCTTCTCTGTATGTCAAACAAAGAAATTACTTTGATAGTAATGTTAGTATTGCACATAAAATCTGAAATATTCAAAACCCTTATATAAAGAGATAGAAGAGCTATAAAATAGGAAAAATGTTTAAAATCCTAACATTGCTTGAAGGTAATATCAAATCTTGCACCTCTTCATATCTCAATTATTAAATGGGTAATAAGTCAAGTTTTACTGAAAAAATTTTATTCAACTTTCCCTGGGTATTATTTTATACACCTAAGAAAAAGTATTCTGAAGGTCTTAAAGAAGCTATTGATAAGTTTATTCTTA